GCGCCTTTCTGATGCTTCTCCTTTTAAAGGGCTCACCTGACTAGTCCTGGCCCACCCTGCAGACTATTCCTTCTGATGAACTTACAGTTGAAAGAGTAACAGCCTAATCTTGGGAATGAGTCCCTATCACAGTGGCTGGTCCTGCCCACATGCAAGGGTGGGGGGGACAATGCAGCAAGGATGCTGCCTCCCACAGGCTCATTTTCAAAAGAAATTGGAGAAGTTCTCCAGGGAGGGCTGGCCAGTGAAATACCTGAGACCCCAGGCCAAGAGTCACAGAGAGTCCCAAAGACCACCCTGAAGGGCTCTCAGGCTTGGCTTCCCTGTGACCTCGGGAAAGCTTCCCTGGGATTTGGGATTTCCAGCCCAAGTTACCAGAAGTGCGTTTCTCAGGGAACCGTAACTCTCAGCCCGTGAGTCCCCTGGACCCTCAGGACTCAGAGTGTCACCTCTGCCTGCCAGGCCTGTTCCAGATCCGCGAGGACTGGGATTCAATAATTTATCAGATCACATAATAAATTCACAGAGTATCTCCAAGGTTTTGAGAACCCGAATTCGACTTCCTCTGGAGTTTTACGAGCCGGCAAAGCCATCCATCAGGGCTGAGCGAGTTCCATTTGTTAAGTGGACGGCTCCCATCAGGGCCCTGCTTCTCACCATCAACTCACCTGCTACAGGGAAACTTCTCTGTCAAGAAAGAAAAAGCCGGGGAGCTTCCTTGGTGGTCCAATGGTTAAGAGTCCTCATGCCAATGCAGGGGACATGGGTTCGATCCCTGGTCTGGGAAGATCCCAAATGCTGCACAGCACCCGAGCCCGTGTGCCACAACTATAGGGCCCATGCACCCTAGAGGCCCTGCTCTGCGATAACAGAAGCCACTGGAGGGAGAAGCCCTCACACCTCAACGAAGAGTAGCCCCCACCCGCCGCAACTAGAGAAAGCCTGTGCAGCAGTGAAGACCCAGCACAGCCAAAAATAAGTAAAGAAACAAAGAAAGCAAAAGCCCCCTGCCCCCCCCACCAGGGGCCCTGAGTGTGGCTGTTCCCACCCCAGCCCACGAGCTTCTGTCACTACGGAGGCTTAGGAATGTTTCCAGGACAGAACTGGTGGGTCTGGCGTCTGACACTTAGGGTGAAGAAGGAGAGAGAATTCCACGAGAGAACGTCCCGGCTAATGCAGCCACATGAGCGCACACACAGCAGTTGCATGCAGTACGTCCTCTTCTGGGGGTTCGGTCAGTGGGAGCCCTGATCCCGGCAATGTAGGTGGGTCACCCCACCCTCTCTCTAGGCCAGGCTGTGGCCCTGCCCCAGGAATGTCTGCCTCCCCCCTAAGGCTGGCCCGGGGCTGGTGCAAGACCAGCCAGGAGGGCCAGGAGGGGGCTGTGTTAATGAGGAGCTGGGCCTCGGGCCAGGGTTGGAGCAGGGCAGATAGGGAAGTCCTGTCACTGTCACCAGCACCATGGGACCAGCTGTCAGCCAGGCTGAGAAGCTCGCCATTACTGGGGTGCCCAGTATGACATGGATCTGAGTGGCTCGGGGGCCCTGGGGCTGGGCTGGAAACCCTTTTTTCCAGCAGCCCTAGTGGGTCAAGATGGGCTGTAACAACCTGGGCAAGCGGGCGGGAGCTCTGGCCTTGGGGTGTGGAGGCCAGTCTGAAGAGCCAGCTCCCAGTGGGAGCAGGAGGGCCCCCTTGAGTCTGGAGCTGCAGGGCCCAGCAGCCTTGCAGAGGACACGCCTCCGGTATAGCATATCCCGGGCACACTGTGACATTTATAAATGTTACACGCAGGGAATAAAAAAAAAAAAAATGTCCCAAATTAAGCAAAAACCCAGAGAGCGCCTACCCACGTGGACCCTGAGAAGCCACTGGGTGGCAATTGTGTCACCCCATCAGCAGTGGGATTGGCATGGTGGCCCACATGCGGGCAGCTGCTCAGTCTCTGGAGTTAGGCTTTGCTTGTCTTTTTTTAAGCACTTTCATAACAGTCGTAGAATGAACATTTAGGGGGCAGTGACAAGGGACCCAGCTAATTGTGGCTGAGATCTTCTTGGGTCAACACTCCCGGACATCCTTTGTCTCAGGGTTCCTGGGATGGGAAGCCAGTGGTAGGAGGTAACCCCTCCCCCAGAAGCCTTAGTGAGCAGATCTGGTGTGAATGGGGCACTAGGGGCTCTGTGGATGTTTTCAGGACCCCTGGGGAGGCCCTGCCTGAATGCACTGAGCAATGACATCCCCCCAACCTCTCCAGGGCAGCGCCAGAGCCCTGTGGTCTACCTGGGGAGGAGAAGTTCTCTGAGCCCTGGAGGAGGGAGGGGCAGGGGACAGGTGCCCCCAGCCATCACCCTGTGTTGGCCCACAGTGGTGGGAAGGGACAGTGGGGAGGGAGTGTCCAGGCACCTAACGCGTATTGGAGCCTGTGCACAGGTAGTGACGCTCACCCACCTGATGGACATTCTGTCCCACTGTCCAACATTATCAAGGGGAAATGATTTGGGGGCTAAAAGGGTTTGCAAGTCAGTGGTCTAAATGCCTGTTTCTATCAATTCCCACACCTGGTAGGTCTGAAGCCAGCTCCTCTGTCATGTGGAGGACGGGAAACTCTGCTTGGCTGAGAAGCAGGAGGGAGGTGTCAACTGCAGTGAGAAGGGCTTCCTCAGCAGAGAGCTGGACCAGGGCATTCCCACCCGACCCACTCTGTGTGCCCACAGCAGCTCAGGCCCCTCGGAGGGGAGTGGCAGTAGTGGGGGGCAGGGGCTGGAAACTGAGTTGGCTCTGCTTGCAAGCACAAGATAGATGATGGGCATGGTCATCTGGGATCCTTCCCCTTCTCCCCAGACCCGCCTGTGCACAGCCCACCCCCAATTTCCTGGGTTCCTTGGCCACCAAGTCCATGTCATTCTGGAACACTCTGAGCCCTCCTGCCTGGCCTCCCATAGCCCTCAGCAGGGGCTGAAGTGACTGGGACAACTGTGAGATGACCATGACGAGGCAGGAGCCCCAAGAAAGGGCAGGTGGCCCATGGAAGGAAGGCAGCCAGCTGCCGGTTCCTCTGTGGGGTGCTGGGACCCACCTGCAGAGCCGTGATCCCTTTGTTTCACAGCTTGTTCTGACGGCTGCATCTGAGCAAGAGCCAGGAAAGCTTTCTGCTAAAGCATCCACATTTAAGGCCGGGCTTCAAATGCAACCAGAAATGGCTCCTGGACTTCCCCACCCTGCCCCATCTTTATGATCAGGGGCTTCTTTCTCCCTGGAAATAGGAGTCTGTTCCTTGACCCAGAAAAACACCTTCCCAAGGGCCACTGGATGCAGTGTGTGAAGGGACCCGACAGCCCCCTTCCACGGCTTCCTGGCCCCCATTCCCTGCAGGACTAGCTAGGGATGGAAGCAGGAGGTCAGCTCTGCCCTCAGGGGTGATGCTGAGGGCAACCAGGTGGTGGGGACCCCTTTGTGGGTGCATCTGGGAAGAAGGAGAGGGGCACAGGGTCAGGACTTGGGGGTGGGAGCCAGAGCCACCCAGCCTGGCCCATCTTCCGTGGTGTCTACTTACTGAGAGCCCATTTTCTTCTAGGACAGGTCTGTGTGAGTCCTCCCCAGGGGAAGGCTTCTGTGGGTGGAGAAGCCCTTGTCACCTCTGGAACACACACTGAGATGGGGGGACAGAGAGGAGAGGGAGGTGGAGTAAGAAGCCAGTCTCTGTCCTCAGGACTGGGGGTGACCCCTGAGGGCTCAGAGCTCAGCCTGGACCCCCAACACCCCTCCCCTCCAATGCCGCTTGCCCTTAGGGCCCTTCTTTACCCCTCCCTGGAGCTCTGATCTAGTGGGAGCTCAAGGTGGGGCTGACCCAAAGCTGCACTAACCCTTGGGGACCTGCAGCGGTGCCGTGGCCAGGTCCCCAAAGCACCCTGCGTCTCCATGACAGTGAGGCTGTCACCATTCTTGGGGGGAGGATGTCTCTGGAAACATACTGCTCTCTGCTGACATCATGGCAGTGAAATATCACTTTCTTTATGAGCTGTCAGGGTGGTTTTCCCACTGCCATTATGGTAATGTACGCACATTTGTTTTGCTGTGTGCGTGTGCTCATGTGCATGCATGTGTGTGTGGACGCACTGGCCTGTGCATTGGCCTGTGCACATGTGAACATTTGAGGGTCTGGGCACTGAAGTCTGGCACCAGGACCTCATGGTCCTCCCCCCCACCACGGGCATTCCACACCGGGTTCTGTGTCATGGGCCCCCCTTCCATTCACCACCTCCTCCAAGCCCCTCCAGATGCCCTGTGCCTGTGTGTGCCAGGGTGGTGAGGTGTGGGTGAGCAGAGGCTGGGCTCTGGGACTCACAGCGCACGCTGGCCCTGGCCTCATAAAGGCTCTGAGAAGTCCTGCAGGCAGACATGCATGGAGCGCAGACATCCTAGTTGCTTTAGGAGTCGCTCTGTGCCTCCCTGTCTGTGGTCCCGCCACCCAGGCAGGGGGGACAGCAGTGTCCACAGGTTCTGGGGACGGGATGTGGGCCTCTTTGGGGAGTGGATTTATCCTGTCTATCCCACAGGGACTATTCCAGTGGCAGACGGGACTAGGCAACATGACATCCCTCCAAAGTCTGCTACTGCTGCCGTCCTTAGCCCTAAGGGCAGCAGCTGTGCCCCTCCCCTCCCCACTCCTGCCCCTTCTCCCCTCCCCCTCCTCCCCTCCCCATTCCTGTCCCCTGCCCAAGTGGAGGCAGGTGCCGGGGTGTTGAGAGAGGTGAAGCTGGGGATACCCTCTCCTCATTCAGGTCCCCAGGAGAGCAGAAACGTGGTCTTCACAGCCTGGGGGTTTGCCCGTGTCCAGGTGGTGGGGTCAGTGGGGAGAGGAGGTGGGGTGAACCCTGAGCGCCACTTATCTTTTTGTTGTTTTTTAATTGGGGTGAAATCCACATAGCATCAAATGAGCTATTTTATAGTGAACAATTTCCTGGCATTTAGCACCGTCACCGCCACCTCTCTCTGGTTCCAGAATGTTCCCCTCCCTGGGAAGAGGGACGGGTTCCCATCAGGTGGTTGCTCTCCTGTCCCCTGGCCCCAGCATCCTCCGTCTGCTCCATCTCTGTGGCTCTTCCTGCCCAGGTGGCCCGTGTGGTTCAGTCAGCACCGCGTCTCCCAGGTGTGTGCGCGGTGTGGCCCGTGTGGGTTTGTCCATCCATGGGCAGCCAGCTCTGGGCCCCCTTCAGCTGCTGTGTGTGCTCCGGTGTGAGGGTCTGCTTAGGTCCCTGTCATCAGGGTGGGGGCATGCTCCAAGAAGCGGGGTTGCTGGCTTGATGGTTTGATTTTTGAGGTGCTCCCTGACCATTCTCCACAGCAGCCACACCGTGTTACCATCTCGTCAGCAACACTGGAGGTTCAAATTTTGCCATATCCTCACCGACAACAGCAACACTTATTATTTTCCGGTTTGGGGCTCCTGTTGTTTCCAGCCGTCCCGGTGGTATGAGGTGGTGTCCCGCTGCGGTCATTGTTTTGGTGACTGGTGATGCTGACTATCTTCCGCAGGAGGACGTCGACGGCTCAGGGGCTCTGATGGGTAAGCTGGGCTCATCTTAGCGGAGAAGCCTTCACAGAGAATGTGTTTGCTGTTGTCTGAAAGTACAGTGAAATTTTAAGGTAAAATCTAGGTTTTATTTTGTTCTATTTAAAGACTTGAGGAAGAATGAGTGAGCAGGAGCAAGGTCTTGTCAGAGGGAACACAGTTGACTGAGGATTGATGCTCGGAATGGCTCTGGATGCCTCCTGGGGAGGTGGGTTCCCAGACATGAGTGAGTGTCTTCCCCCCTCTGACTGTGGCTTCAAGGGCACTGGCTTGGCCTTGTCTCCTGCCACTCCAAATAAGACCCCAGCCTCACCTCCACCCCAAAGCTGAATGCATACTGACCTGTGTCCAGCCGTCGGCTGCCCCGCTCCCCCCACATGCTGCCTAGTGGTCAAGGTGTCAGTTGACCCCTGAATGGGTAATTCATTCATCCATCCCTCAGCTCCGCTGGTGAGGGAGACCATGATGCTGTCTGGCTTGGGGGGAGGGTCTTCCTGGCTGAGCCTCAGCCAGGGGCTCTGTCCATACCAGCCTCACCACCGCCCAGGAGCGGCCATGGCACCACTTCACAGACCAGGAACCAGAGACTCGGAGGTCAGAGTGGTCTCTCTGCCCCATCCTGCCCAGGCACCCGAGGGTCTCTCAGTGAGGCTGGAATCAGGCTCCAGCAGCTCTGCTAGGGTCTCCCGGGTTCAGCACCCTCTCTGTTTCCAGGCTGGCAGATGGAGGGACACAAAGGAGGGCTGCCTGCCCAGCCGCCGGCCCCGAGGCCCCTCACCCCACACCCCCAGGGACAAGAGCTTCAGGAAATACTCTCAGGCAGCAGCCACTGCTCCCGGGGGCCGCTCAGGCTCCATTACTGTCCTCGTGCTCCCGGGGGCCGCTCAGGCTCCATTACTGTCCTCGTGCTTCCAGGAAATCACTCTTCTCCAGCAGCCGCTACCCACACTCCCCTCCTCGCCCAGCTCCAGGGGTGAGGGGCGAGGGACCCAGAAACTGCCCCTGCCTCCAGTTACCCAGATTCCAGGAGCTCCTCACCAGGAGATGCTCCCCCAGACCAATCCCAGGGACCCCTCTGAGATGTACAACAGGCTCTGAGGAGGGAGCTCCCCCACCCCTCACGGCCACTCAGGTGCCTCCTGCATCACCAGGGGTGGGAGGAGACAGTGGGAGGTGGGGGAGGAAGGGGGGTGGGGGAGGGGAGGGAGTGGGATTCCAAGCTGCTGGGGCAGAGGCCCCTCCCACCAGGCAGAGGCCCCACCCTCCCTTTCCTCTCCTCCCACCTTCCTGGGAGAAGCACCCTACGCCCCAGGGACTGCTCACCTCCCCTCGGTCAGCAGGTCTTGTGGACAAACTCAAGGTCTGGCCACAACCTGAGCGCCTCTCCCTGCTGGACCTCAGCCTCGCTGGGGAGCATCTGTCCTGGTGGCCTGGGTCTCCTGGCAGCTCAACTTTGACCCCTGCAGCACTACCCCCATGTTGAGCGCCAGCCTCTGCCCAGCCCGGCCACGGGTCCCTTCACCCTCACTACTGTCCTCTGCCCTCCTGATGCCCTCTGCGTGGGTGTTCCCACCTAGACACTTCTCACATCCACGGGCTCCTGTCCATCACCCACAGAGGCCTCCCTTGACCTCTGATCTACAAGCCCATCCATTCCCCAAACTGCTTCCTCTGTGCATCCTAGAACTCCCGCTTCCTTCTCCATCTTCTCTCCTACCTGCCACTCAACACAGCAGATGCTGCTCACAGGCGGCTACTGAAACTAAAGTTAATTAAGTGACATTGAATCTAAGACTCAGGTCTGCAGCTACACCAGCCCCACTACAAGATCTCAGCAGCCACACGTGGCCCTGTGGGTGAGCACAGCACGTCCAGCCTCGGCAGAATTTCCACTGGACATGCATGGCCAGCCCACGTGGCCACGGCAGGTGAGCCACACATCCTTGTTGGGGAATGAACGAGGGTGGGAGGTGGGCCTCTGGACTCTCTGGCCACTGTTTATCCATCCTCACACGGAAAATGCCATCGTGTCATCCGCGGCCTTCCTGAGAACCACTAGGAGGAAGGCCTTCCATGTGTCTCCCATGCTTGGCATCCGAGGCAGGCTGGGTCTGTCTTTACTGCCCCACTGAGGGGGCTCTGGAAGGTGCAGGACTGGAGAGCAACCAGACTGCAGGACACAGCCCAGCTCTGCCCCCTGCTGTGTGTCCTTGGGCAAATCAGCTCCCCCTCTGAACCCTATCCCTGCTCAGCAAAGTGGGGACAACAGGATGCCTGCCTCTCAGGGATGCTTTGAAGATTAGGAGATAATCCCCAGCGAAGCTTCTGGAATAGCCGTGGATGCTGGTGATGTGGTTAAGTGAACAGAGTGCTCTATCGTCTGGGGGCCCCTGGGACCGGCCACCCACACTTAGCCCTTCTCCTGAGAGGAGAGCCCATGCTCTGTCCCGGTAGGGCCAGCTGCCACGAGGAGGCGATTAGGGGTGGTTAGGTGATTAGCAGCGTCAGCCCCACACCCTCTCCCCCGCCCTCACTGCTTGAAGCATCACTCACAGGGCCACCTTGGGGATAGGCCTGCCTCACCCCCAGTCAGACCCAGTCACGAGTCCCTGGCTGCCTGATGCTCCTGCTCAACCTCTGTGATCCCCCACCCCCACCCCTGCTCAGGGCTAATGGAGGGCCCTTAGCTGGGCACTTCCTAGGAGTGTGGTCCCCCTGTCCCGCCCCTGCTCCTTCCTAGCCCTGCTCTTGCTACATGTCCCTCTGCGGCACTGCTGGGGTATGCAGCCATGCCTTCCCTGCCCGGGCCATTCCATGGGAGACACGCTGGATCCCCAGGTGATCCACAGAGAACATCCTCACCACACCCGGGGCCCAAGACTGGACCCTGCGCTCCGAGTCCTGGCCTGGGATGTCGTGGGGGATGGACACAGGGGAGCCTACTCTGAGGGGCACAGACGCCCCCACATCCCTGGCTGGGCCAGGCCTGCAAGGTGCAGGGGACATGGCTTTCTACAGGCAGGGTCCTCCTGCTGCCTATGCCCTGGTCAGGACTCCGGGGACAGTGATGCTGACTGCCCCTCCCCCTCCCGTGTGAATCCTGCACCTGACCTTTGGGGAAGTGGGTCCACCCAGTTAATGCTGTCTGCTCTCCTGGTCCTGGGGGACCCGAGGATGCGAGGAGACCTGCCCGGCCCACACATGGCAGGGGACCTTTGCGTCCGGCCCTGAGAGGATGGTGCCTGCAGGCTGTGCCCAGCACACAGCCAGCTCACTGTGCCCAGGGTGGGGGTGCCTGCATGTAATGGTGCGTGGATGGATCTGGGGTGCCCTGCTCACATGCACCCTTGGCTGCAGCCTGGGATGCAGTGTGGAAGCATATCGCCTGCTCGCTGTCCAAGGTGACCTGTCGTCTCATGGGGTTGGCCTACGAGCCTCTGGAAACCCGGCAGCTCCCTTACCACCTGATGTGGGCCCCAACTCTGGGCAACAGGGCCAAGTGGAGGGGGCACAGGTGGGCACAGCCCCCCGGAGCCCAGGATGGGAGGAGGTGGCAGGTCTGCCTGCCTGTGCCCTGGGACCGCCGGGGTCTCCCCAGGGCACCCCTTGGGGCGGGCTGTGTGGTTGCCCGCTGCCGCCAGGCGCCTCTGCACTGGGCTGGGCTAAAAATAGCAGGGGGGATGGCAGGGCAGGGACCTCCAGTGGGAGGCCCATGGGGAGGGGCCGGTAGGGGCGGCGGCCGGCCGGCAGCCTGGGCCCCGGGACCGGCAGTCAATGGCGCTGGCGCTCCCACCCTGTTCCCGGTGGCCGGCCAGCCGCGGCCCAGCTGACAGGCTATTTTTTCCCCTGCTTGACTAAATATGGTCAGAGAGCACAGCCCGAGGGGCCACTTGGCCGGGGCGCGTGTTTGGGATGCTTGGCTGGGTATATAAGGACTGCAAAGGTGAGGCCGGCTCCTGATCCGAGGGGGGGGCCCACGCCCGCTCTGGCCCCTCGGGTCAGCCCTCCCCTCCCCTCCCCTCCCCCTGCCTGTGTGGGTCTCGCGTGCGGCCGGCTTTGCCTGCGTGAGCCTGCACACCCGCCAGACCGTCCCCTTTTGTTCACCTGACCTCTACCTTGCGCTGACCCCGGCCGGGGTGCGGGAAGCGTCCTGCAGACACAGCCCAGGCAGGGAGGCTCAAGGTGTGCGGGCTGAGAGGTCGCTCCCTAACTCCGCAGAGCCTGCCACCCTGCGCCTCCCTTCTCTCTCCCTCTCTCTCTCTCTCAAGATCTCCCTCCCTGCTAAGTCTTCGCTGCTGCAGGAGGGCTGGGGGAAGGGCAAGGGTGCGGAGAAGGGGTGCCTGGTGTCTTCTATCTCTCCGCTCCCCCCACCCCCGCCCCCCAAGTGCGGACGAGTCGGGAGCCGGGCCTCCCCCACCCCTGCGCTCGCGATTGGCTCGGGGAGAAGGATGGGCTGCCGCGGCTGCAGCACCATCTCTCTGGGAGCCGCACGGGGCGCACCGTACCCGGGAGCCGCGACCCTGCGCCCACGGCCGCCGTCGCCAGCCCGGCCCGAGGGGCTCCGCGGTGAGTCCCACTCAGCCCGCCCGGCCCCCCGCAAACTTGCCGGCGGCCGTGGTGGGGGTGTGCCCGCGGCGAGGGGAAGCCATGGTGCCGGCGCCGCGTGGCTCCAGCTGGGGGTGCTTCGGAGTTTTCTCTTGGCTCGTGGCATCGTCCGCATTTGGAAAACTGCAGAGCCAGCAGACAGCAGGGCCGGGAGGGCGCGTCCAACCGCGATGCGAGAACTTTGACATGCGGGCGTTTTGCAAGGAAGCGGTGCCTGCAGTCACTGCCGGGGTGCACGAGGGTCGAGGTGCTGCGGTGGGGGCCGCGGGGTCTGAGGGGAAGGCGTGACTGACCTGCAACAAAGCGTGGCTCGGGTGGGGATGTGGCAAAACTTCCCTCGGAACTTGCGGCCGTGGAGATGCTGGGGGCAGGGGTCCCGGAGCCGGGCCTGTGGTGAGGCTGCCCCACGAGGGGACTCGGGACTTTGGCGGCTCTCATAGCCAGGGTCAGGGTAGGGAGGGTCCCTGTGCTGGGCGTGTACAGCAGGGGCACACGTGGGTGGAGACGGGGCTGGAAGGGAGCAGCCGGTGGTCTCTGCCAGAGAGAGCGACCTCCACCTGGCTGGGGGCTGGGAGCATTCACAGCTGAAGGGCTGGACTTGGCACAGGGCCGGGCCAGCACACTACCCTCCGTGGTCCCCTTGGAGGTGGCTGGTGGTCCTTTTCTGTTGAGACGGGAAACTTCTTGAAAAGTGGCTGTGGTTCATTTTTGAATGGATAGAAACTCGCCAGGGCTCTGGCTGGACCTTGGGTGACCCTCCCGCCCCTTGAGGCCCCCAGCTTTCCCCTGACCTCCAGACACCATCCATATGAACGCCTGGGAATGGGGGTCGGAGGGGCGATCCTAGACCTGAGCCTTGGCCACACCTCCCAGTCTCTGAGGCCTCATTTGTCAGAGGGTAGCCTAGAAACTTGGACTTCAGACACCAGGTATCCTTTGAGCTTCTCTCAAGGGTGCCCTCCACCCCCGGGGGGCTTGGGGAGAAGTGGGAGCTGGGGCAGAGGTCTCGGTTGTCCTTTTCCATCCTTGGTTCCCTGAGGATGACAAATGGCAAGAGCGCACAGAAGTGGGACATTGTTCCTCTGTGTCTTTCTGCCGGGTAGTACTCTGCTTTTAGTGGGGTGCCCCTTGGACCCCTGATCACACCCCCACCCGCATGAACTCCAGCTCTGCTGTGCCCAGAGCGGCTGCCAAGCTCAGGGACTTGAGAAATCACTCAGATTCTTCTGCACCATGCAGGCTCTGCAGACACAGCCCTGCCCCGGGTGGCAGCAGCGCTGGAACCCTCTCTGCACCCATCCACACGGGGATGGCCAGGCTGCCCCATGGGGAGGGGCGGGCAGGGTAACCCTGGACCTTGTCTTGCTAATGAAAGGAGAATTAGAAGTCCACTCAGGCCCAGGGCCTTGTCCTCAGGCCGGGATCAGTTCCTAGCCACATAGGACCTGGGCCCAACAGGCAGACTCTGTGTATCTGCACCTGGCCTGTCTCCCCACCCCAAGGGAGTGTCCAGCAGTCAGTGACACCCTCCTTCCAAGTTCTACTTTTTACCCATGGCCTTACCTGGCCACAGCAGGGCCCTGTCCCCTGCTGCTCCTCTGTCCTCCCAGGGCCGGCTTGGGCTGGGGTGGCTCCGCTTCCTGTATGGGGACTGGCCCCAAGGTCCCATTACTCTGCTTCAGACCCCTGTGGTTTTCTGACTCCTGGCTTCGTGGTGGCCATGGAAGGTGGTGGGGAGGAGGGGCCTCTGCTTTCCATCACAGAGAAATTTTGAAATGCTGTGGAAAACAATATCGATACAATTAAGTATTCCAAAGTGCTTAGTTGGCCGCTTGCTAAGTTTACTTAAACCCTGTTTAACGGGTTCATTAGAAGTGGTGAGCACCAGGGAAATTCATTAACAGGAAGGCGGCCCCTGCGTTTGACTGTAAATTGGTATTGATCAGGCCTAGCGGAGGCTGGGCGCAGGCCACAAAGAGCCAGGTGAGGGCCTGCCACCCTGGGAGCCCGTGGGAGCCACCCGCCGCCGGCACACACAACGGTTTAGGTGGTGATGCGCCAGGAGTTGGGGGGAGGGGAGAGGATGGGTGAAGAAGACAGCGAGGGACGAGGGAGGGTGTCGGTGGAGGCGGCGGTCAGTGCAGGGAGGCCAAGCCGGCACCAGCCCCTCACTGGGCTGGGCGTCTGCTCTGTGGCCAGACCAAGGTGCCGAGGGAGCTGGCCACGGCCCGGGCCCCATCCTAGCAGCTTCCAGCCACCCTCTGGGGACGCGAGGTCCACCTGCAACTGCCTTTCTCATGCGTGTCTTCAGAGACGGGGCCCGAGCCCCACTGGCTCTTGGGAGGCCGAATCACCAGGGACCCATCCAGGAAGCTGCCCAGCTGCTGCCCAGGTAAGGCCTGCCTGTTTCTTGGTCGTCTGTGGCCAGGGGTGCCGGCTCTATGCTGGCTCTGACTACCCTGCTCCCTGGCCGCCCGTGGTGGGGTCTTCCCGAGCACTGTCCCTTCATGCAGTTCCCCCGCCACGTGCACTTGGCCAGGATGGTGGTGCTTAGGTGGCGGGGAGGTTCCGGCAGGAGCAGGGAACGGCTCATCCTTCCTGGGTCAAGGGTGAGAGGTGGCATCCTGGGTCCTTTCTTGTGTCACTGATGCAAAACTAAACAGATGTGTGGTGATTGAGGGAGTCCTGAGACTTTAGAGATACATTGTCTACGTCTGCCCTTCCTGACCGTGTGTGTGTGTGAGAGAGAGAGAGTGTGAGAGAGACAGCGGGGGAGAGAGGGGAGGGCCGGGCCAGGGGGGCCGCGGGGATGCAGGGCGGGGTGTGCTGGCTCCAGGGTCCGGGGCAGCTTCTCGGGGGGCCCTTCCTGCGCCCACAGCCATGCCCACTGGACTACCTGCTTGGGAAACATACTTCTTTATGTGCCCATATGGACCTGCTAAGCTATGGAATGTAAAGAAGTATGTATTTCAGGTCGGGAACTCTCTCGCTGGAGGAAGGGGGCGGCGCGCCCACGGGGCCGCCCAGGGGACAGACAGATGGGCAGCTGTGGCCGGCCGGGCCTCTGTGGCAGGCTGCCTGGGCGTCAGTGGCCGGCCTGTCCCCGGCCGGTATTGTTCTGTCACTTTGCCTGTGTCAGCAGGTGGAAGCGTTCACCAGACATTAAATATTCAACGTGCTGACTGCGGCAGAGGGGAGGCGGCCTGTGGCAGGCATGGGGTCCACTGGGGGGCATGTAGGGGCTGGGGGTGCGGGGGCACCAGTAGCTCTGGGGCGTCACTTGTTGCCACCCTGGAAGGGGCCTTTGCCAGCAGAAGGGACTGTTTGTGAGATGCAGGCAGGAAACTGCTCAGAGGAGAAGCAGAGTAACCTGTTCCAGGAAGGATGGGCCAGCTGCCTAGGAGGGAAGGGGTTGGGTGGCCACGTGCGAGGGGCTTTTTCAGGGAGAGACACTCGGTCTTTGCTGTCAGGCCGTCTGCGAGGCAATGGTGAGAGCACCATGTGGCTCAGCCTCCCCAGCTCCAGGCCACACTCCCTCCTCTGAGACACCCTGGCCCAGCATTTCTGGGGCACCTGTGATGCATAAGACAGGAGACCAGGGTCTGAACCAGGCAACTCGAGCCCCTCCTGGGGCCTAGGTCCCACTCTGACCCCCAGACCCCACGCTGCTCTCTGATTTTCAGCACCTCTGGCTGAAAGCGCTTTGCTGTTTGAAGGACGGTAGGGTCACGCTGGCCAGTGTGGTGCAGGCCAGGACCCAACCCACCTGTCCTGCACCAGCCAGGTCCCAGGCAGGACAGGGGCTGGGGTGATGTCCTCTGGGTCGCATGGCTGGACTGTGAGTGCCCAGGCACTGGGGGCATGCTGTGTCCAGTTCTGAAGGCTGTCTCTGCAGCACAGAACCTTCTCTGGCGAGGCAAAGGGCAGCAGGCTCTAGGGGCAGGTGGTGGGGCCGGGCCGCTGTGGGAGGAGGGGTGTCCCTGTCAGTATCTGGCTCTTGGAGTGGTGGCGTCTGCAGCCTGCCCAGGGCACGTCCTCCACGGCCTCGGGGCTATTTTTCCAAAGCGTGCGTCACCTCTGTCTTTCCTGCCCTCCCTGGCACTGCTGCCCAGGCCAATGGCTGGTGCCCCAGCCCCTCCTGCATCCTGACCTTTGGCAGGAGTTTAGCCCTTGGATGGGGGTTGGGTGGGGAGGAGGAGTGAGCTGACCTCCTTCTCCAGCTGCTGTAAAGGTCTAGGGGCAGCCAGGTTCTGTGAGCTGCTCAGGCTCCTCAAGGAGCTGGGGACAAGGAGGTATGGGCAGTTCCAAGCTCACCTGTGGCCACTACTTCCTGGGGAGCTGACTGTATTTGAGGGTCCAGGGTCCCTTCCCAGTTTTCAAGTATCCTCATTTCTGACTCTGCTGGCATCCACCGTGGGAGGTGGGACTGTCCTTGGGCACTGCCTTCCTTCTGGCCGCCGAGGCCAAAAGGAAGATGACCTTGCCAGAAGGGGTCAGTGCCCCGAAACCTGGGAAGGTCATCTCTGCCTGCGGCTTCCAGCTCCGGCCGCAGGGAGGGAAGCAGTCGGGTACAGCCCCCGAGGCTGGCCGCAGACACGCGCTCTCTTCCCCTCCATGCGTCCCGCTGCACATTAAGCCTTTATTGCAGGATGTGGTGTTTAAATAAAAGCATTAGTGTTTTGGAATTAGGTTTGACTGAGCAGTAAAACTAGAGAGTTTGCAGGCAGAGAGAGCCTTGGCCTTCTCAGCTGTAAATCATGGCGGGTCTCTTACCTGCCGAATTAGAAAGGGGCACCAGAGGGCTCTCCTGGCGAGAGCCCCTTGCCCAGTCCTGCTGCCCCCAGCCATGCTGATGAGGCTGTATTTTCTGTATAAGCTCCACCTCTTGGTTTTCCAGGGGAGGAGTTGGGGACGGGCCCTCAAGCGAGGCTGGCGTTCCTCCGGGTGGAGTCTTTGGGCCTTTCTCTGCGAAGGAGGGGGGAGACCTGTGGGAGCAGTGCCTGTGATCTGCCCAGAGGGTCTTTTGCTGGACAGTGCCCCCCAACCCTGACACTCTGCCACAGGGGCTCTGGAGCTCCAGTGAGGGTAGAGGAGCCTGGAGTGAGCCAAGAGGGTGAGAGCAGGACAGCTCATACTCAGGGGCTCACCCACCAACCTGGGGTTACTGACGGCCTTGCGTGGCTGAAGGGAGAGGTCCAGGTTGGGTGGGGGTGGCAAATGCCCCTTTCCCAGAGCTCAGAGAGGGCAGGTCCCCGGGGAGGCATCTGAGAATGCAGAATCTGGCCCACAGCAGTCCAATGGTAGTCCAGGTTCTGCTAGTGGAAACAGTAGGTCCAAGGATTGTAGGGCTCATCGACTCATGAGGAAATTAGTTGAAATTTTCTATGCTATGGCTCACTAACTCTAGCCATGCTCCAGCTGAAGCTTCTGCACTGGACAGAGAGCAGCTCTGAATCAGGGTCAGGTTCTGCATGGGTGTGCTCAGGTGCGCTCAGGTGCGCTCAGGTGTGCTGTGCATGGAGGGCAAGTTGTCTTTCCTTTCTGGAGCCAGGGGCCACATACCTTGAGGCACGGTTTCCAAAGAGGGGCCGTGTGGCTCTGTTCATCAAAGGCAAGAAACTAGATTGCACAAGGCTTTCAAAGAGGGGCTGGGGTGGCCATGGTGAAAGCCTCTGTCAGCAGGTATCAGAGATCTCTCTTAAAACTGACAGTCCCACGTGAAAAATGTCGCCTGAAGAACAAACTGATCATGAGGTGATGAGACTGACCTGCAGGACAGACACTTGAGCTGCCACAGCCCCGGGTCCATGAAAGTGAACACTGCTTGAATTGCAACCCCCACCCTTAAATGTCCCAAATAAGAAATGAGGGAATCTGAGTAATCTGGGGATAAGGGCCAGGTGGGGAAGATGGCCCTGGAGCCCTTTGCTGGCAGGGGAGGTGGGGCCAGCGGGTCAGTAGGTGTGGCCAGAGGTGGGGCCAGGCCGTTGCATTAATTGCTGCCACCTTAGCATAAAGGGTGACCATGGTCCTGTCTGAGTGGTGCTGACTCAGCCCAGCTCTGCTGGCTGCACGTCCAACTGCAGAGGGCCTCTCGCCTCACTGCAGCTCTGTTCCCTGCCTCTGATGCCCACTGTTCCTTAGGGTCACCAGGCTTGGAGCCCCTGGGGCTTTCTGAGGGGCCTTGGCCTTGCCCACTGTCCTCGGCCCGTCAGCAGCTGGCTTGGGGATGAGAAGAGACAGATATGAATCACGGGAAGGGAAGGGCCTCCGCACAGCCTCAGAAACTGGTGCTGTTCGCTCCGGCCCACATCCAGCTCCGGCCTCTCTCAGCTGGCCCCACAAGGCCTGGTCCCAGGTGTTCACAGCTGGAGTTTCTCCGGGCTGTGTTCCTGGCTCCCCTTTTAGTGCCCAAGTACCAAGTCTCCCTGACCAGGGAGGCCCGGCCCGCCGGCAGTGAGGGCTTGGTGGGGGGAGCAGCGCAGCCGCTGCAGAGCTGCTCCCCAGGGCGCTGCAGTGCGGAGGCGTAGCTGCGGGCTGCATGCAGGGCCGCGCGTCTCAAGGGCAGGGACAAGAGGGCCACCACTGCAGCCGCCGCTGCTCCCTAGGTGGAGAGATGCAGGCAGCGGGTCTGGCAAGGGCACCAGCTCCCTGGGCTGACCCACCTGGGTCTTCGGGAGCCCCGCTAAGTCTCAGGCCCGCTCTGCTTCCTGGGCTAAGCAGGTGGTCCAACCAGGTGCCGGTGGGGGCCAGAGAGGCTGGGCTCAGAGGCACCCCCAGGCTCCCGTATCCAGCACAGGCAGAGAACAAAGGCGAGAAGGCCGCTGTACAAAAGTTGCCGGAGGGTCGCTGGCTTCTTCCCTTCCAGGGGTGACACCAAAGGACCTGGTGGTTGAGAGTCTGGGGACTCCCAGGGGGTCAAGCCTCTAGTGTGGGGAGGGAGCCAGTGAGGATGGCCGGGGCCAGAGGCAGGTGTGAGCATGAGCCAGTGCAGGAGGACATGTGGGATGGAGGGGGAGTGACCCAGGTATTTTTAACAGCAGGGCGGTGAGAGGGCAGCTGTCCCCAGAACCTGTCACGGGTGCCCGTGGGGACTTGGGAGGCTGAAGGACACCCAGGACAGACACGCAGCTCTGGGCCCGTCCCCCTGGCAGGCCTGCACACCGCGGGTCATGCCCACATATGGCGACCAGGCTGCGTGTCCCCCCGTCGCCCGTCCACCGTGGCCGGTATAAATAGTTAGTCCACATTCTCAGCTGTCCTGTTGGAGAGGCTGAACTTGGATGAACCCGGGGTGGCCCCCTCGCACCCCGCCCGCCAGCAGAGTGCCCGGGACCGCAGCTGCAGTGGCGACGACAGGCCAGGCGGTGAGGCTCTGAGCTCTGCCCCCACCCGTGTTTTGTTCCTTGCTCCCTGCTGGCCCCCTTGGTGGGCATCAAATCCAGCGGCACCTGGAGACCTCTGCCAGCCACATCCAAGGGCTGAAGAGGGCCAGGACCCCAGCCTGGGCTGGAGCTTTGTGTCTGGGGTGAGGGGAGTTGAGAGGCTGGGGGTCTCGTCCTACAGCAGGCAGAGGCTAGTGCTGGGGTGCCCCAAGGCCGCACGCCCTGTGGCCTTTTCCTCATCGTCTCCTGCCATTCCCTCCTGTGCTGGACGTGGCAACATGCCCTAGAGGACTCACAGCCAGCAGCCTGTCACTCCCCTTCCCCAGGGACCTTGCCTCCCTCTATTCTAACCAAGAAGTGAATCTCTAGCATTGGAATTTCACCCCCGCTACCAAGGCCGGTGGAGCAGATGACCTTGGGTGAAGGCACAGGGCCTGTTGAGTCCCCCTCAAAGCTTAGGTGCCAGTCCTGTGGCCTGGAGTGCACTTCTGTGTCTCCCGATCCTGAAGGTCTGGCCAAGCTGGAAGGAGGATGATACACACAGGCTTTGGTGTGGGCGGTGTCCCCGGCCTGTGGGTGGCCACAGTGGCCCTCCCACTAGTCTATCTGGGGATAATGAGGCCAGTCCCATGCTCTGAGTCCTGTGGTGCTGGATCTGGCTATACAGGCGGATGGCCTGTGCGGATCCTGTGGTACCCACTGACCTTTCTTTATCTCCGGACACATCAGTCATTAATTTGCTCCGAAGCTGCCACCCCTCCCCAGACCTCAGGACTTGCCCATCGAGTCTCAGGCTAGCAGCTCTCTCCTCTGAAATCACACCAGCTTTTATTCTGGTCTGTCTCTGAGATAACAAGACACAAAAATCTGTCCTAGCGTTTTTGCAAAGAACAGCAAAACCCTCGTGCGTCCCCTTCTGTCCCTGCCTCCCGTTGCCCTGTCCCCCTGCTCTTTGGGTCTGTTTGAGGCAAAAGTTATCTCCAGGAGGGGCCATCAATTTGCTCTGCTCTTTTTGACAAGTTTATTAAAAACCCGGGCAACTCTGTATTAAACTTTTATCAGTGTTGAGAAATAATGCATTTTTTTTTTGGAATAGACAGAAAAGTTATGGAGCTGGGTTGAGTGGGTCTTGGTCGGCATCCGGCTGGGTCAGTGCTGGCGATAATGAGAAACAGGGCAGTTTTGGGGGTGTGGTTCCCTTTTGCATCTGAATCATGGGTCTCCCTTGAGACTCCCTGCACAGTCACAGCAGCCTGAACAGAACCCTGGGAAGGCTCCTTTGGCCAGGCCACTCGAACTCCCACGACCATCATTCTTTGCTATTGATTTTAATAATTAACCAAAATCTGGAATTAAAAGTTAATTTAGTGGTGAATCCTAGTGTTAATAGGTAGTGCTGCCACTGAAGAAATATTAGGTTATTGATGTTTAAATTTTTAAAACTCCATAGTGAAAAACACGGAACGGATCCAGATACAAGTGGGTGGCACCTCCCGGGTCAGGAGGGGAGGGAAGTAGGCAGGGAGGAGCTGCCCACTGCCTGAGGGTGTGAGAACGAAGCTGGAGGGGAGGGGGCTTGTTCTTGGGGTCCCTGTCTCTGTGATGACCCTAGGAGGGCACAACTTCAACCCCATGAAGTGGGCTCTGAGGGCAGCATCTTTGATCCCAGGTGGGTCTGGGCAGTTGGGCATCCATGAGCAGAATTTGGTGCCACACCTTCACTAAGGACATTGGCCATAGTGTCCACTGTGATGTCCCTGAGGGTGTTTTCTGTCCATAGTGGACACTGTTTGCTGAGGTCCTGGGTCAGAGATTGTGGGGCAGCTTGGATGAAGTGGTGCCTCGCTGCCCTTGAGGGGCAAGTGGCTGGGGCACCCCTGGAGCTATGACAGTGGTGACGAGGCGTGAAGTGACAGTGACTAGGATCTGGCACCCCCACGTAGGGAAATTGAGGCTCAGAGGGGCCAAGGAAGCCCCGGGAGCTCCAACTTGATGTGTATGCTCCAGAGTCCAAGGTCGCTCTCTGCGCCACCAAAGGTCAGACCTGGGGACTGCTGGGGGTGCTGGGCGCCGGGGTGGAATTCACTTGGTGAGGCTGTGCTGAGTCTGCTTTCTCTGTCTGGGGCCTTATCCAGTGCAGGGGGGCTTCCTGGATAAGGTGGTCACCACAGCTCTAGGCCTGAGGTGTTCAGGAGCAGCAGCAGCAGCCCCACAGCCTTCCGGCCCTGGTGTCAGCGTGTCACCGCCCTGCTGGGCAAGGCTGACCGGTGTGGCCCCAGAGCCTGCTGTTGGCGAGTCTCAGTGCACACACGGAGTGCTGGCCTTTGTCCACACCGCTGTTTGCTCCAATTAGGACTAATTGGACACAGATCACATTTTTCATAGCATCTAATTTTCTATTGATTTTAACGGGGTTGCTGGTGTTTTCGGCAGCGGTTCCCCGCATCTCATATCAGTTGCTGCTTAAAAATGCTGAGTGTACTTCCCCATGTGGGGTGATTCCATCAGCAGATGTTTTAAAACCTATTTAATTGTTTGGTTCATAAAATGCACAAACTGTATTAGCTGCAGCCTTGTTTCTTCACACGCTGGTAAAAAGAGAGGCAGAGGGCGGGTGCAGCCCCGCTTCTCTGGCAAATGGCAAATTCACCAGAACCCAGGCCATCCCCATGCCAGGCCATGCCCTGGACTAGAGGCATTGCTCACGTAAATGCAGAGTCTGTGACCTGACTGCAAGTCACCAAAGGACTTGGCAGTGGCCCCTCCTGTTTCCTTGGGAGGCTTCAGGGCTTAGCCCCATTGTGCTTCCTTCTAACCTTGGGGTCAGAGGCCCTGGAGCAGCAAGGTGGCCTCATGGGGAGGGGGCTGTGGTCTGCCTAAGGTCATCTGGGGGAGGCGAGTGCAGGGCCTGAGAAGAGGAGTGGGGACCTCTGAGATAGAGGGTGGGCTTGTGGGGTATTTGGTCTCTGAGCCATGGACGTGTTTAAGAGCTTGGGGCTTGCAGTCCATTAGTATTTGGACTTTTCTAGATAGAAAAGAAAAAGTATTGCAAGGAAGGTGGGACCCCCAATGGTAGGTGGGACACAAGGATGCAGTGAAGGGGTTCAGGAGTGTCTGCCAAAGTGAGCTGAAAGTGCCAGCTGGGCACTTGGGCTGCAGAGGCTCCTCACAGTGGACCCTGCTGTGGGCACCGCCCCGCGTGCCCTTCAGGTACACAATCAAGTGTGGTAATCACTTATTCAGCGAAGGCTTGCTGGAACATTCTCTGAACAAAGGCATGGGGGGCGTGAGGGGAGTGAGAGACTAGACATCCATGGCCCCCAGGACAGTGGCCCTTGGGAAGGAGAGATGGGTAAGCTGTGTCGGGGAGCAGGCGATTCCACCCAAGTCCCCATGCCCTGCTCTCTAGGACCCCACTGGGTTGCAGGCGGTGGCGTCCTGGGTGCTCACACCCTGTGGGCTTCTGGGCAGCTCAGGGCAGGCTTGCTTAACCAACCCGGCCACAGGGCCATCAGCCATTGTCCAAGGTCAGGCGAGGTTTTGCAGCCAACACCCTTGCCATGGTGCCCATGGGTGAAATGCTTGCTGCTCTCCTTGGTGAAAGAGAGTCTGCCAGCTCCCTGGAGGAAAGAGCTGGGGTCTGGACCAAGCCCCTGCCCTGGGTGCTGTCTTCTGCTTTGGCTTCCAAATGGCCTTGAGCAGGGAGCCGGCCAGGCTGGAGGAGGACTGAAATGTGCAAGGGGCGTGTCAGGAATAGAGCGTTTGATGCAGAAGCAAAGGCCTGTCATTTGGGGAAATTCCTCCAGCCGCAGGGATGCATGGAGAGAGATGAGGAGAAGAGGTGGGCTGCAGGGAGGTGCCAGAGCAAGTCACAGCTTGGGGGGGTCATCCAGCTGGTGCTGAGATCTGGGTTCTTGCCTGACGATGGACTGGGCATCAGTAATGGGGTACCTGGCTCTCTTTGTTGGTCCCCTCGTGCCAGCCGGGGTGTGGAGCCCACAGGGCAGTTCTGTTGCTTGTTAAATCTCCGGCTTCATTAGGAATATCGACAGGGGTGATAAACATACCAGGTTGCTTTGTCTGCATGGTGTCTTCACCGGGACTGGGGCTACTGTTCTGGGGAGTCTCATATCTGCCCCTATGCCCTATGCTCCTGGAGTTTAACCAAGAAAGGGGTTTGCAGAACTGAGTCCTCTCAGCCCCGCTGCCTCCAGGGCTAAGCTCTGATAAAGGCCAAAAATCTAGTCACAGGTATGAGTCTAGGTGGGCCTGGCACCCACCCCTGGGCTCCCCCTGAACTTTGGGGAGGTGGTCTTGTGGTGAAAGGCCAGAGCCATCCACAGAGGGGTCCCAGCCAGGCTCAGCTCTCAGGAGGGGGCGCCAAGACAGGGATGGGGGAAGGTAGCAGGCTGCATGATGGGGGCTGGGGTCTTGGGGGTCCTGGAGTGGCCCTGGAGGGAGAGCATGGTGCCCTGTGGCCCATCCCCACTGCCCGAGCATCCGTGGCCATGGCGTGAGGAGACACGGGCAGAAAGGGTCCCAGAGAAGAGCAGCGGGTGGAGCGGGGGCAGTAAGCATGTGTGGTCACATCTCCCGGACAAGCTGGTCTGTGCTCAGAGGGAGGGCCACACACAGGACGTTGCATCCCCTGCATCCCCACCCTGCCATCGCCCTGATGGATCAAGTGCTGGCAGAAAAACTAATTTTCTAAAAAGGAATCTGCTCCCTCTGAATCACCGAGGGTGATCAGGCAAATTCGGCCGGGGCTGGCCGTGCCGGACTCACGCTGACCGGGGGGCCCACCCTCACATACCTGACAGGCTGCCGGTCCCCAGGTTGGGAGCCTGGGCCTCGGGGAAGGTCCTCATGTGGGTCTCTGTCTTGCTTCTCCCCCTACAGGCACACAGGCCTGGCTTCCCCGGAAATCTCGGGCCCTGGCCACCTACAGCCGGGTCAACTGGGCTCATGTTCAGCTGGGGCCCAAGGTGGGATCTGGAGCCTGTCCTGCCTTGGCTGCAGCTAAAGATGTGATGGGGGCCAATTCCCCTTCTGGCAGGCCCCCAGGATGTACACCCATGAGGGCAGGTCCTGATGGTGGTTCCTGGCCCCAGGGCCGAGGTAGTAGTGGCGCCAGGGGCCTTGGACAAAAGGTAGGATGGCTGAAGAATCAGTGAGGGACAGTGGTGGGAGGAATGGGAGGCAGACACTGGAGGGGTGGGCATCAGCTGCAGGAATAGGACCTTCTGGCCCCCTTCACCCCTCATCTCCACCCCTGCCTCCTCCAATCGACCCAGTGGGCGGCCGAGCACCGTGTATGCAGCTGTATGTGTGTGTGTGTGTGTGTGTGTGTCCTTGAGTTTGTGAACTTATGTGTGTTTCTGAGTGTGAATGGGTGTGAATGGTGTGTAAAGAGGAGTTTGTGAGTGTGTGTGTGTATTTGTCTATATCTGGGAAAGTCTGTGTCTGAGTGTGTGTGTTTTGGGGGTGTGTGTCTGTGTCTCTGTATCTATGTATCTGTGCGCGTGTGTCTGGCGTGTGCGTGTGTGTCTGGTCATGTGACTGACCCTCAGACCCTCATCCTTGCTCCCCCATGCCTCTCCACCCCAGCCCAGCAGAGCTCGGGAGCCCCTCGGCCCAGGTGGCCTCAGGGAAGGGTGGGGGCGCGGAGTCTGGACACCCTGTGGCCCCATCTCATCCAGACGTCACCAGGAAGCCGCCTTCATCGTCGACGCCGCTGTTTCCCGCGGACCCGGGACCGAATGCTTTGCTAAAGCTGGTAAAATGGAACCAAATCAACTGTTCGATGGATTTGGTCCCCTTCAACCAGCTGTAGCTGCGCATTGATGGCGCCTCGGCCCGGCGGGAGGACACACGGCCACATGGAGGCCACTCAGGCCAGCTCGGCCAGGGGACCCAGACGCCCCTCCTCGAGGTGGGTTCCTCGGAGACACCCTCCCCTTGCGAGCAACAAGGCAGCAGAACTTGGCTGCCCCGTCCCCACCGCCCGCTCCAGTTTACCATGAAAATAAATGTCTGCTTTCACACCGTAGCATCACTGAGAGTGTGTGTCCAGGAGCCGGTGCCACGTGGGGTCTGGCCCTACGTCATGCCCTCTCGGCCTTGCTCTGCCTTCCCCTTCAGAGCTACCTCGGTCCAGGAGGCCATCGAGGGCTGCATATTGGTTTCCTTGGGGGTGCTGAGGGTGGTGATTGGGGGCAGGCCCACTGAATCCCTGCCCCCACATGTCCTGGGCCACTCTGGGTCCTGGGATAGCTGGCTGCTGGATCAGTCGGCTCCTGACAGAGCCCATCCCAGAAACCCCCCCGCAGTGAGGAGCCCCACTCCTGCCTCCTACCTGCTGAAGCAGCTCTCAGTTTGGTGTGGAGTCCTGCACCCGCTGAGGACTCGGGCGCCCGCCCCTCGACCTCAGGAAGGGAAAACTCTGGGCTTGCAGCCTGCCAACCCCGCCCCCCGCCACAAAGCTGGCTGTTGCCCCAGAAGCTGATCTATTAGCTTTCAATGGATTGGATCCACTTCATGTCTATCTCCCGTGGGGGTTAGAGCTGCCAGAGCCTAGGAAAGGAGCACCCGCCCTCAGGAGGGGGGCTTCTCTGCAGATGCTGAGCCCAGACCAGGGGCCAGTTTGCTGGCTGGGCTCCCGTTCCATGTGCCTGGCCAGGATGGTCCTCCAGGTGAGGGCGGAGGTGCCTCCGGGGCCCTGCCCAGGAGTTGGGGATGTGCGGGCCCAGCACCGCACCTTCCAGGTTCTGGGAGAACCTGTGATCCAGGAGCTTTGGCGGCTCTTGAAGAAGGAAAGTGACACATTGGAGCCTGGACACAGCTTCACCGCTGCCCCCTACAAAGGCTTAGCTGGGATGAGTGGACTTCTCTTTCATCCTGAATCTCCAGTTCATAGAGGGGACACTGCTCCCCCAACTCCTGACTCTGTTTCTCCCACGTGGTGTCCCTCGGCTCCAGCGGATGGACCTCTGTGTTGGGTAGAGGTTTGGGTCTCAGTAGCTGAGGGCCTATAGTTTTTGGACGGAAGGCTGGTCCTCACTTTTGTTCTGGACATTTCTTTCTTACCAGGTAGCCCTGAAATGCCCCTCACATTATAGTAAAGAAAAGGAAATTCTTGTTTGAAAGAGATTCATCTTTCTCTCTCTCCTTGACGACGTGGATGCTCCCCAGTAACCAGCCCCAGATGGTGGAGGATGAGAGGGGATGATGGTGGGAAATGTAGCCGGCCCTTCCTATGAGGACGGGTGGGGTCAGGGTGCTTTGCTGAGGGTCCACAGGCTGGAAAGCCCCTTCCTGTCTTTTAAACAGCCTCTGCAGAAGGAGCCTGCTTCCAGGTTTGCCTGTCAGAAGTGGGGGCTCAGCCTGCTTTGTCATCTCCCTCTGCCTGCCAGTTTTGGGGAAGCCCTCTCACTCTCAAATAAACACGACAGTCGGGCCAAGTGTCAGCAGAGTCCCTGTGTGCGACTTCCTGTCACGTCTCTGGTCTGGTCACACCCAAGGGAGAAAGCAGGGGGGCAGAGAGGGTGGGAGGAAGAGAGAACCAACAGACACCCTGGCGGCTACTCGTGAGCCAGGCCTGGGTCCCTTGACTGCTTGGGGGTGGTAGGAGGCCCCCCACCAGAATCGCCCAGGCTCTCCCGAGAAAAGCCAGGGAGGTGTTAGCACCATGGGAGAAGGACATGGGCAGACAGAGCCAGGCTCCCTGCACCTGGAGCTACCCTCACTGCGCTGGGGGCTGTGCGTGCGGGAGGGCTGGCCGATGGCCGGTTATCACTTCCACAGCTCAGCCGTCCAGGCGCAGAGGTGGGGGGCTCAGCTTTCTATGTATATTAGTGGGGGGCTGTCAAGTTCTTTTCTGGGCTTTGACTTTATTTCTAAAAATAAGTAAAAGTAGAAATGTTACAATGCAGACGTCAACAACAAGAAGCGCATGTTTTGTAGGCTTAATATAACTGAAACCAGGATGGATACCATCCGGGCCGTTGAAGGGCTGGTTTCAGTAGATGTTTAGTGTTTTCCAGGACTGTTGTGTCCTGGAGACTCACAAGAGGACATAGACTGGTCCCCAGAGCTTGTGCCTCCCACGAGGATGGTCAAGCATCAAGAGACACAGGGCCCTTTCCAGGAGGTGGGTGGGAGTGTGGGGCCCTGATAGGCACTCAGGGTGGGAGGGGGGTTCCCGGCTTGTGGGTGAAGTCCGTCAGTAGGTTCACTGGGAGATGGCCAGGTTGTGTGCGCCCAGTCAAGATCAGAGTGAAAAGCAAATGACACCCAACAGACCCCAGGCAAAGCTGAACCGTAGTTCTCAGCTCTCCTGCCAGAAATGGCTTTCTCGGGGGAGCAGGGCTAGACCCTATGGAAGCCTCTTTTTGACATCTTCTAGCACCAACCAGGGACACAATCACTGATGGGACTACTTGCATGTAGTCCCAGCTTTAAATGTAAGCCCAACATCGCTCCAGAGACGCCGATGACGATGTGTATGAATCTGCTCATCCCTCGCTTTGGCTAAGTGCCCCAGTCCTGCATAAAAATATCAGATCAATAGCCACACATTCACTCTTCCCAAATGAACCAAATGCAGCTTCCATGACCTGCTTCTCCCTGTGTGGGCCTTCTGCTTCTCCTGACCTGCCCTCCTGTGGGTGTTGGGGGCTGGCTCAGGCGAGGTCAGCTGCAGGAACTCCCTGGAACAGCCCCTGCCCAACCCCTCTGGTGTCTCTCCAGAGGGCCCCAGGGGCTGGGCTGAAGAGGAGGTGCTTTGTGTCCCCCAGAACTTGGAAAATCCTGGAGAGCAGCTTTGGGGGCTCTGAACTTTCTACAGTCCTCTGGGGTTGTCCTTGTCTTTGAAGGTTTTATAGTGGTTCCATTTCCAAGGTAACTCTTCCCACCTGGTGTATCCCCTTCTGGCCCCCTTCCTCCTGAGCTTGGCAGAGGGGCATTGGGGGTAGGCAGGAGACCATGTTCTTCCAGCTGGTTTGCTCATCAGGGGAAGAGGAGCAAGGCTGGGGACTCACAGCTCTGCTTGAAGACCCGCTGAGGATGGGGTGGACACTGCAGTTCATCAGGGAGGGGAGAGGGGCTCTGGCCAGCACAGAGGGGAAGGGGGCCTGGTGGGACCCCAGGTCTGGCCCAGACCCTCCTGTGCCCCCATATTCCCAGATACACCAGAGACACAAAGGTGAGCTGAAGTCATTGGCAGAGGTAGCAGGACCGGTGGGCGACTGGCTTCTGCTGAGAAAAACCAGGGCCAGGAAAACTTGACCGTTGTCTTGAAATTGAAGGCCATTGGGTCCCTGCTCAGGTTTGTCAGAGATGCTTCTCTGTTAGTGGGTCTGTTCGGGCAGCGGAGCTCAGCATTGCCTCAGAGAGTTAATTTCTGGAGCCAAGAATGAGGGAAGTTGCTGCAAGAAGCAGTTTTCCCCCATCCTCCTTACTCCATCATGACTCAGACAGATCGGAGTCCTAGAGTCAGTGTGAGCTTGTATGGGTGGGGCTGCCACCCCCTGCCCACCTTGCCCACTCTGGAAGCTGCAAGTAGGACCCCTTGCAGCCGTGGTCCATGTGGCCACTGTCTCCTCAGAGAAGAGAAGCTGGGAGGGAAGCCGGGGGTCAGCAGAGCAGGGGCAGGGGTCAAGTCCACCCGGAGGCAAGGAGAGGCCTCTTACGTGAACCTAAAGGCAGAGTTGGCCCCTTCACTGGAGGACAGCCCTATGAGCCCACTGGCCATTCTTAGGGAAGGCCATGTGCTTCTCTGAAGCTGCCAAGCCCATGTGCAGAGGCCTCTGGAAAGTCCTGTTCTGGGACCTTATGGGAGATCCGCAAGCCTCCTCTCATCTAAGCTGGAGCTGCCCTGCATTCCTCTTCATGGTAAGGGCAAGGAATCAAAGATGCCATGCCTGGGATTCACAGCCCACCAGGGGAACACCACCATCTACACTCCTGCCCTGATGTGTGGTGTTTAGGGGCAGAGAGAGCTGGGGAGCCCATGGGATGCAGGACATGCTCCCAGGAATATCCAGAGTCTCTCACTCCGGGAGGGTGCCCTAGTCTCCTTGTGAGCCTCCCTCCTGTTTTCCTTCTATGTCAGCAGAGTCCCCCCACCAAGACCCTCCCCCAACCCTCATCCATCCCCGTGGTCCCTCCCCCATCCACAGCACTGAACTTCTGGCCACTCTCAGTGAAAGACATGTCAGCTCTGGATTTGGCACAATTTCCAGTCATTCCTGTTGTAATAATAACACAACAATAAAAATAGCACCTGCACATCATGTGCGTTGTCACCCCCAAACAGAAGGTCCTCCCAACTGACCAGAAGTTCCCTGCTTGGGAAGAGACTATTGGGGGACTGGACTGGGCACAGAGGAAGGCTGGGGGACAGGAAGTTCCAGGACTCGCCAGTGGTTCGTGGAGGGACCTTGGGTAGTAATTCGTCTTCTTCACGTGAGGAAAACCTGCCCAGGCAGGCCAGTGGGTCAGGCAGGGGGATTTGGGCATAGTGCTTCCTTAAACAGTAGAAAAACCAATGGAGAGCATTTTCAGGACTTGCCTGTGGACAGCTCCCTGCCAAGCTCACTGCCTGCCCCCAGGCGAGCCCTAGGCTGGTGGGCAGGGGACGTGTGGGGATGCCCATGAGCGCACGCTGGGGAGCTGGGCTTGCAGGAGCCCAACCCCACCCTGTGCCCTCCCCTCTGTGTGTCTCTGAGCCCGAGGTACTGATGCCAGAGGAGGAACCCTTGAGCTGGAAGAC